AAACTAAACTTATGGCCTTCATTCCCATTGCTATTGGTTCCGGTGTATCTGATGGCCAGGCGATAAGAAGCAAACTTTCTGAGTTCCGAACACGCACTGCCTTCTTGTTGTGGGTTGTAATGCCAGCCTGTTTCTCCATGTGGGAAGAGCATTGGATCTGCATGCGGTGAGACAGCCGATATGCTTTGCATCCGGTGATTTGGGTCAACTAGGTTCGAGTCATAGATGACCAGATCGTGGTTCCCTGGTGGTAGACCATCTTCTCTAACAAAGACAACTGCTACCTCGTTCACATGAGCAAATGGTTGATTGTATCGCCGTGGGTCATTGTTCGGGTCGGCGACGATCACTCTTTTCGGTTGCAACATTGGATTGGCCGCAGCAGCATCTTGTTCCCTTGCCATACTTGCTGCATGTTTCTGTAAGAAAATAATATTGTTTTATTATTAAAGCCACATGATATATCCACATGTGTGTACAGTAGAAGGATAAAGAATAAATGTTATCCACAGGCAAGTGCAACCTGATAAATAGTACAGCACAGTATATATTATGTAATTCGGAAATGTACAGATACTGTTAAAGACATATTACTAAGCACACATACTAGAAACTATGAAATACAATTTTGCATAGAAGTATTAAGTAAAAATGTCGCTTGGGTACAATACACACTGTAATGGAAATGTACACAGAAAAAGTAAAATCAATATATATATGTATATCGTTATTTACATGTGACATATATACATATATTTATATTATAGTTAATATGAAATTGTAAGGAGCTGTTGGAGTTTAATCGAATCGTTTAAACTTAAAATAGGTTTTTTAATGAGTGAGAAGTAATCATAATGTAAACTATAAATTTTTAAACAAAAATGTTACACTACTGTCTACACGAATGTGTATTCGAATGTGCAATGTTAACCAAAGTTCTTCGTTGTATCATATAGAAATACGTAAAAGTGCAATACCTATACTAATGTAATGTGTGTTCAACACACTACAACTTGAAGTAATATTTTTATTTGATTACAAATATAGTTTGTTAATGAGTGTGATGTACGCATTTTGCTAGATTATGTATAATGTTAATAATTTAAAGTAATATATATTACTCGAAAGCCACCGCTAATGGATTGATTCGCCGTAACAGTCTATCTAAGTCTGCAAGTATGTTCTCCAATAGTGGTCGTTCACGAGGCTGTTGTGCCATACTAATCTGATTTGCTGCCCCGGATTCAATAAAATACAACTCACAATACCTTGGTTGCATTAGCTCATTTCTGACAACATCATTACTAATCCTACGATACACTTGCCCGTGAACGGAGGATACTCTTGGTCCCTGACCAGGCAAACGTCTTGGGCTCAGATCAGTGGAGAAAGCCGCAAATGCCAGAGTGTTGTTATACCGGCGGATTTCTTTCCGAAAGGGTTTTGCTACCTGCGAATCATCAACCAACAAACGAATTAATAACTCTGGTGGTGGACCTAAAACACGGTCTCCTGTAACAGCCATTTGACCGTTATTGCAACACGTAGAAAAATGACCCGTTGAAGAACGCTCGCAGGATAAATGGCGGTCACCACAGTGCCGGCAGACAACATTCTTTGTCATGCCGATCTGGAAGTTCGTGTTGAATGCCAGCCGGACGATCTCTCAAGGGCGCTCGTGCTCTCGGTACAACAGAGGAATGTTATACATGTTTATTTTAATTTTTTTTTACGTGTCTCGTATGCATTAGGAACACATGAGTGTTTGGCAGAATTTCTATAGAGGCACCAGTAGGTTTCTGCCATGCCCCGGAGTGGGGGATGGCGGCACTTATTCTCCGGACACCGTGACTTGCCCGAAGAAAAATGCCACCCGGTGACCAAGGATCGAACCCGGATCGGCTGCGCCGCAGCCGACTCGTTAGACGCTCAGCCACCTCGTCCCCAAAAATTAATTTTAATAAGATGTTTTTACTAACTTCTTCATTGACGTCTGGTAGTAAAACGTCAAGTGCATCCCTGAATTCAAATTCTGCCTCTGCGTCAGCAGGAAATAAATCCACATACTCAATGTCATCTTGTACCACTTCCTCTCGTAGCATTTCTTCTTCAGCTAGGTATATCATAACATCTTCTACTTTAACTTCGACAACTTCTATCTCCATCCCGTTGTTACCGGGGATTGCCACTTCCGCTTCCAGATGACCGCCTGGTGCCGCAATCTCAAGGAGTGGTTTAACTACCTACAGTATCAAAGGAAGTCCGTTGTAATGTGTGTATAAAAACAATCTCAAATATTATAAGCTTAAATATTCAACGTATGTGATGCATGTGTTATTATTAAGATGATATTTACCTCAATATCAATGGCATGTGACTTAATAATCATATAAAAATCAGCTCACCGATATGGAATGTAATAAGTACAACACATTTATTTATTTATTTTTTTTTTCCGGCTTTACGATCCATCGAGGATCTTTACCGCCAAAACTATCTCTTCCCATTTCTCTCTATCTTTTTTGCTCTATGATTTGCCAATTCGTCCTAATTTCTTGGCCTACCGCATTCCATATTTTATTTACGCTGTCTATCCATCTTCTTCGGGGTCTTCCCCTTGGTCTTTTCCCTGTTGGCGTCCAAGTCATTATTTCTTTTATCAGGCATCCTTCCGCACGCCACGCATGTCCAGCCCATTGCATTCTTATACTTTTAACGTATTGTACAATATTTTCTCTTTTGTATAGGTTCTCGAGTTGTGCATTCGATCTTAGTTCCCATTGTTGGGTTTCGGTATTAAATACTGGACCATGTATTCTTCTGATTTCCCTTTCAAATCTACTTAGTTTTTCTTCATCACCTTTAGTTGTAGCCCATGTGGCACATACATACGTCAATACCGGTCTTATGTACTTTATATAAAGTTTTTCTTTGACATTTTTTGATATCAATTTTGATTTAAATATCGTCTCCATTGCAAAATAACATCGATTTGCTGCATTCAGCCTCACATTAATTTCTTCGTGCATAATATTTTTGTTGTTTAGAGTTACACCAAGGTACTTAAATTCTTTAACTTGTTCGAATTCCTTATTTTCTACTTAAAGGTTGGAGCTATCCTCTGATCTTCTTGTTATTGCCATGTATTTTGTCTTCTCTTAATTTACTAACAGACCCATATTTTTACTTGCCTTCATTAATTTCTTCAGATTCATTTGGACTTCTGTTCTAGTATTTCCAGTGATTATTATACAACACATTTATAATTAAATAAATTAAAAACAGTGAATAGAGAGCATGGTACAATCAATTAGTTAGTAAAATTTAAGGTCCATGTAATAGTGAATTACACTATGAATGAATAAATTTGAATAGTAGCATCTCAAATGTTATAAGATTATAAGCATTCAACATATGTGTCATATGTGATATTATAATGTTTGACTACATATCAATAATATGTAACTTAAAATAAGCATATACAAATCAGCTCACCGATATGGAATGTAATAAGTACAGCAAATTTTAAATAAATAAAAACAGTGTGGAGAGCATACTGTAATCAATTAGTTAGTAACATTTAAACTACACGTTATAGTGAATTGCACTGCAGACCGAGTAAAGGTCAATAGCAGAAATTGTTGAATAGTTATAGCTGTAATAATGTAAGTAATTATTGTACATAAATAAAATGAATTGTAGCCTAGAGAATGTATCCCTTCTGATAATAATGAAGACAATACATTTAAGCTACACATAGAGGTGATTTAGAAATGGAAGTGTAAAAAGAACAAAAGTTTTATTATGATTAGTTCAATTAAATTATTAGAAAAAATACTTTATTACATTTGAATAGTAATATGAATTGAACAATTGGTATGTAACGGAGTAGCCGTCACCACATAAAAACGGTCCTTTTCAGGACCACCAATCAGCGGACAGTATGCTAGCACAAGCCACACACACTGACGTTAGGGACAATTACTAGGCCCCAAGTAACAGCACAACAAAAACAATAGGAGTTACATATAGGGGAGAGTCAGACGAATCTAACGACACCCTCCCCAAACTAACTACCCCAAAATTGAATGAACGACAGGACTTCCCGTACAACTAGCAAACACAACCATACACGGCGGCAGCGGATAGTTTACTAGTCGGTACGGCAGACTGCTTATATACCGGACGTTTTCACACCATCGACACAGTCTTCAATACCTCTTCATACCTTCAACACCTACCACCAAAACGAAGAAACGAAGACCCGAAGACCATCTAGCACAGCGATCCAGTTGAAACTACAAATTACACCGATACGGCGGCGAATATACTCAACACCCAAGGCGGCAACCGACGAGCTATTTAAAATTGGGTATAGTGCAGCTCTGATTTGTTTGGCCCTGTGAACGCAAGATTTCACGTGTTGGTGAAGCCGAAGTGGTTTGTCGAGGATGACACCGAGGTAAGTAGCGCTGTTTTTCCAAGTAATTGGGGTATCTAGAATTTTGATTTGGCGTTTGGGCGCATTTCGGCTACTCCCGAAGAGTACTGAAACTGTTTTCTGGGTGTTAAGTTTAAGACGCCATTTTAAAATCCAGTCAGTTGTTGTTGTTACTTATCTCTGTAAACGGATTATTGCTATATTCTTAGAAGTGTTGCTGGAATAAAACATCGTGTCGTCAGCGAATAGGGACGTGGACACATATGGAGTGGTTGGGAGATCGTTTATATAATGGCTGTATAGAAGGGGGGAGAGACACGAGCCTTGAGGGACACCTGCTTCTATCGTTCTTTCTGTAGATGTATGGTCAGAGATCTTGATTCTGAAGGTTCGGTCTGACAAGAAGGATTGTATGATTTTTACTAGAGGTGTGGGGACTGTAGACATTGTGTGAAATTTGTGGATTAGTCCATCGTGCCAAACTTTGTCAAAAGCTATTTCCATGTCTAGGATATGGCTGCGGTGTGTCTGTTGTTGTTAGTATTGATTACCAGATCGTCTATGAGTTTAGGAAGTTGGGTTGTCGTCGAATGACCATGTCATTCACCTTCTCGAATACTTTGGACATTGTAGTAAGTAATGATATTGGCCTATAGTTATTTGCTAAACTGTGATCTTTGTAGGGTTTGGGGATCATAACTATTGAAGCAGTTATCCATGTTTTAGGAAAATGAGAATGCCTGAGGCAAGCGGTGAAAATATTATTTAAACTAACAACAGCAGGGGCTGGGAGGTGTTTGAGTGCAGCATTTGGTATGTTGTCGCAGCCTGGAGCTTTGCCGGGTGGTAAATTTTTTATTATTTCCCATATTTCCTTGGGGGAAGAGAATAGAGTTGATTTGGTTGTATTTCTATTGAGCTCTTCAATTGAGTATGTGACTTCTTTGAGGTCGGTCCCCTGGTTGAGAGTGAACTGCTCTTTCATTGTGTCAGAAAATAGTTCTGGTTTGGATTTGGTATCATAGAATTTTTGGCCAGAGATAGATTTCAATGGAGAACTTGCTTTTTTTTGTGGAGTAGACGACGATTTAATTTATAAAGGGAACGGTCTTGGAAGTTGAGTGTGCTTGTGAATTTGTCCCATGTTGATTGGCGGTGTTCCTTCAGGAGGTTTCTGACGTACGATATTTGTGAATTTAGCATAGTCTTGACTGCTGGGTCCCTTGTACGTTGCCAGTCTTTCCTAAGGTTCCGTTTGATGGTGATCTCTTGTAAAATCCTGGGTGGGAGGGGCTCAGAGACTTGGGTTTGGTTTGTAGTATAAGAACATTCCGTCATTGCTGATTGGATTGATGAGGTAATGAGTAGGACCTCGTTATCAATTTCTGTAGGATTTTTCAAGTTGATTATCTTTTTAGGATAATTACGCAGTAGTACTTGTTTGAATTTTTGCCAGTTTATCCTCTTCTTGGCTGCTGGAGGGTCGCTTGTTATGGGAGAGTCGCTTATGATCATAACAATCGGATTGTGGTCAGAGGTTAGCTTGTTATGGTTGGTTAGGGTGAGTTCGCTATAGGGAAGGTTTGCAAGTGCGATGTCCAATATTTCGGGCCTGTGTTGTGGATTGTAAGAGTGATGTGTTGGAGAGTCTGGTGCGCAGATTGAGTAGGTGTTGTACGATTCCATGTGCTGTAGGAGAGTTTTGCCTGCCTTTTTGTGGTGCGACAGTTCCAGGACTGGTTTTTTGCATTTAAGTCTCCTGCCGCTAAAAAGAGGTCTCCGTGGTTGGTTATGATGTCCAGATAATTTGTTTGTAAGGGAGTATTTGGGCTTTTGTACACAGATGTGATACGAATTTGTTCACTACCGAGCTTGATCGTAACTGTGGTTGAGTCAAGAGTAGTATTCAAGACTTCATGGTTATGTACTATGTTCTTACGTATAAGTATGTTGTTTAGTCGTGCGAATACTTGTAGTTCATTGATTTTATGTTTAATACCATTGCAGTTCCAAAAAAGAATATTTAAGTTATTCATTTTGGGTCGGTATTTCTGAGATGATAATACCAATGTCAACCCGTCTCACTATATACAGGATATACATAAGGCCAATTCTTCTATACGCTGCTACAGCCTGGGGCAAACTAATAAGCGAGTCAAATTGGAGGAATATCGAGGCTGTCCAAAACGTGGCTATTCGAACAATCACTGGTGCCCACTTCCTCACCAGGAACAATAAAATTCTCCACCCGCCCATCAGTTCCATCCGCAGTGAAGTAGAGAGAGCTACAAAAATATTCCTGCATCGAAACTCTCAATCGTCATTCTCTCACATAAGGGAGCTAGGTACATTACCCGCCCCTCAAATAATTTCACGCCGTCCTCGACCTCTAACATTTACATAATAAGTCATCAACCTCAGACATTAGTAAAAGGCAAACTGCCTGAGACTAAATAAAACAGCTTCGGCTTTCATTCAAAGCAAAGCAAAGCAACCGACGAGCGCTGCGTTCCTGACCACCACTACGAACGAAACCATCGACGCAGCGACGAATACACTCTTAGTACGGTGCAGCAATCGACGACCACAACGTATCCGTATTACACCACGGACATCATCCCCACTGTACCACAGGATTAATATTACATCTCATAGAAGATGATTTTATCATCTCAAATGTGACCTCTCGTGTAAACATCTAATATTTGTTGTCAGGATGTACACAATTTGTGTAATTTTAGTTCCAAAATATAACTACTGTATAACATACTATAGATCAATGATAATTAGTAGTTTATTTCAAAACATTTCTAGAGATGAGTATATTTTAATGTCCCTGGGTAGTTAAGAAGTTACGTTCCTCAGAAGGGCAAATGTATAACATTTGTGATTTAATAATGTAACTGCACATAGTAGTAGCATAAACATCACTTTGATAATATGAAAACTAAAAATAACCATATATTATTATATGTTTACGGGTTTATCCAGTAGGCCGTTGCGTCGCCGGCTCGCTCACCGCGGCGCGTCGTACGTACGTCACTATCTTATTATTTTGCAACTATAGTCTATACGCATTATAACGGTTTTATCATAAATATTAAATTCATAATATTATATTGCCCGTTTGCCGTCTGCCGATGTCCAATTTTCCAGTGTCTTTCATATTTCACATTTTCTCGTCATCTTCCTAGTTACCGCTGTTTATATGAAGACTTAGTAAAACGGATTTTGTAACGGTACCTTTTTAAGATTTTCCAATTACATATTTATATTGTGCAGTGTGTTCCGCGGATGCTAAATGCCAATAATTACCGCTGTTTATAAAGACGACTTAGTCAAACGGATTTTGTAATGGTACCTTCCTAAGATTTTCCAATTAGGTACATATTATTTATATTGTGCAGTGTGTTCCGGATGCTAAATTCTAATAAGCATTACTATTATACCTAGCCAAATATAGTTAAATACGTAAGTACTTATTTAATATTGATTTTAGTACCTATATAATATTGTGTTAATAATATTTAACTCGACGTTAGTCTCGATATGGTGAAAATTATCCAACTTTTTTTACATCTTGATTAAAACGTTTTTTATTTCAATCATTGATGCTCAATTACTTTTTACTCATATTATTAAAAATACTATGATAATAAAATAAATTTAACAATTTGGCTGCCAAGAGTGTTTTTGAAAACTTCAAATTGCGGTCCATGAGACTCCATATAATTCGTATCTACATTCTTTTTTTTTTATTATTATTAATATTCGTTACCTAAATAATAAGGAAGTAACCTCAGAAGTAACTTTTTTTAACTAGGTATATTACCCATATAAATTGTAAAAATTATTTGAAATAATTATTTGTTTAAATAATATTTATAAAAGTGTATGAAACGTTTTTTTATTATTGAAACATTTTACATGGTCGATCAGACCACAATGCGAATTACTAACGTTGGGTTATCCATGGCCATAATTTAAATTTCATCTTATGTTATCTCTAGTGTTACCTATATACTTATATATTTACTAATAAATATTAATTAAATATAGGTATTAATACAATTTGATAAATCGATAATTGTTTATTGAAGTATGGAAGGAACAAGTTCACCATCACAGGTACCTATGTTGTATATTTTTATATATTTTCTATTATGATAACCAACACACTATTCTATGTAAAATAATCTATATTTTATTATTAATTACTAATTTATTATTTATTTATTTCATTATAATTATATAGAGGTTAGATAGTCAATAGCAATACATACAACCTGCTTTACATATTGATAATTTACATTAACACCTATTGCTATTATTATTTATTTATTTAGGTATTATGATTTTGTTCTATTGAGGTATACGTAGTTAGGTAGCTATATAATTTTGTATTTATATAATATTAATACCTACTTGCATAATATAATAGGTATAAAATACTATATCATAAGAATGTACAAAGCTAAATAATTTATAGGTAAATGCATGTTTTAATAAAATAATGTGTCTTTAATGATTTTTTCGTGAACTTGTACCACATAATCAATATCTTTTAGTGGATTATTGGATATTTTCCAAAAGAACATAAGTATTCGGTCATTCCTATGAATTGGCTGTCAAAATGTGGCGATTCATACTATTGCAAGTGGCCTAATATGAAAGTATCCCCCACCATGTTGAGAAATGCTGCATTGCCTACTTCTAAATGGACATCTCATCCAGTTAGAGTTGTTGAACGCTATGGTAGGTATAGATATATTAAGTGTTTCATTTTTATATTTTAAACTGTATTTATTTTGGTATGTACCTTATCAATCAATTACATTTAAGATAATTATGAAGATGCTGCTTCGAGAGAAGTTGAAATATATCTAACATCATTTGGGGAAACTGATATAGGTGATATGGGACAAGAAAATAGGAGAAAAATATTAAAAACTTTCCATAAATCTAATGATGATAGTATGTATAAATTTATTTTTGTACCTTCTTTATATGGGATAAACATTTTATGTTTTTAAAATATTAAGATTTTAATACATTTATAAAATTAATTATGCAACTTTTTATTAGTTTAAATATGAACTATTTTAATTCACAATGCAAGTTATATTTATAATTTTCTAGGTTCCGATAGTGATACTGAACCTCTCAGTATTTCAAAAACAACACAAAATGTTGGTATCAATAATGTATCAGGTATGGAATATCTATTTCAATTACTTATATTTATATGTTTATTCTGTTTATTTTATTATAATTTTATGTCTATATTATAGATGCTGTCAATATATTGTATAATATGGATGGAATACCAACAAACCTATCATATGATACAGGTAATTAAATATATTATATACTATACATTGTGACTATTATTAGAGTAATTGAGAAGAATAAATTACTTATATTTCAATTTAGTACAAGAAACTACAATCTATTCACCCTCTACAACTCATAAAGTTGATCCTATTGCAAATAACAATACAGGTGAAATAATAACTTTGTTTTGTGTATTGTAACTTTGTCCAATTGTTATATTTTTTATTACAAAATAGATGATTTAGCTGTTGACGTATCATTATTTTCATCCTCTACAAGTAGTACTATTGCAGCTAACAACATAGGTGATTAATAAAAATATTCTATGTTAATTTAATGTGCTGTTAACCAATTAAAACTCTAAAATGTGCCATTTATGATTTAATTTAGTTCAAGGACAAAATTGTTCATCTTCTTTGTCTTATCAAAATTATGACAACATAATTAATAAAACAGGTAAAAATTCTAATAATGAGTCCATTATGTATACTAATGACAATATTTATAACTGTAATTTATAGTGTATTTTGTGTTAATAAATAACATTATTTTTTTCTTAGCAGACATTTCAAGTTATTGGCCCACCAAAAATTCTAAACATGATATTAATTCTGCAGGTATTTCGGTTAATTAATTTTTATAAATATTATGAAAGCACTTTAAATATATTGTTCCTGTTATAATATATAAACATATCGACATAGATTATAATAAAATGGAAAAGGTAACGTCAGCAAATACTTTGTACATGGAGAGAATTGATAAAAAATTGGACATTATATTAAATATTCTTCAACAAAACCAAACAAACAGTGTGCCATTAACAACAGTCGATACCAATTTTTTTAATTATTTTCCTTTGAAAGAATTGGAAGCATTAAAAGATTTAGAAGAAAAATTAAAAACTGACAATGAATTCAAATCAAAATTGGTAAAAATACTGAATATGTTGATATTATTATTGATACTTTACTTAAGCAATTAATATTTATTTTATTTTAGGTAAATTTAATTACCTCTTTTGGCGGAACGAATGCAAAGCATTTTGTAAAACGAGTTTTGACCAAATTATTTTCAAACCAACTTGCTTCCCATTGTTCATGGACAGGTTTTAAAAACGATTGTCGCCTTGATGGACTCGAAATGATTAAGACAATGAAAAGTAATTTTTCCATATACAATTACTTAGTAATACTGTTTCTCAGTATTCTTAATTTACACTATATTTTTTAGACATTTGTATTGGCATTTTTCAAAATGATGAGAACTCCTTCGAAATATTCATAAAAGACTGGTTTAGGACGGCTGCACAGCGTTTGAAGAGAGACATTACAGATAACGGTAATGTAATTCAAACTATTTCAACAATGCTTTGATTAGTGTTAGAGTTTATCTAGCTACTTATCATTACCTTATCGTATACCTAATAGAACAATTATTTTAGTACTATATTAGGATAGATTTGTTATCATTATTCAAAATGAATTTCTCAACTTAAAAATATGTATTGTCAGTTGTAAAGTTTTGGGTGGTTCATAACAAACCCACCTCTCCCCACCAAATATTATGGAAAAAATTATTCTGTTCTATTTAAAACATTTCCACAAGAATTAAAAGCTCCCAAAATGTGGTTTTGCTTTTCCCGCTGTGTATTTCTTTCTTTACTATTTGGGACATTTGGGTATGTATTTTATTTTGTTATAGATTCCTCGAAAAAAAGGACCAAAATTGAAACCATGTCTTAAAGAGTAGAAATATTTGTGTTAAAAAAAACTATGCAAATAAATTAAACAGTCCACTTTTTTAATAAATTACCTAAGAGACAATTCATTTCTTTTGTCTATACCATTTCTTTGTGTGACTGCTATTGGAACATCTAGATTTTGATGAAATTCATCAGTTTGAATGTCAAAATCTTGGTCATTATCTTCAATCTCAAATAAGTCATTGTTCTTAAGAGCCAAATTATGTAAAATACAAGCACCAGTCATAATAAGACTCATTAATTCAACTGACTTTGATTCTATTGACCTGAAAAGTGAGTAATGTTTTTAGTTTTCTTCTGGTACCTTTATTATATTTAATATCATTATAAACTAAATAAACTACATAATAAACTTATAATAAACCCTATTAAATTAAAAATCATTACTTGAGTCTTCGAAAACGCCCTAGTAACAATCCAAAAGCTTGTTCAATAACCACTCTAGTTGAACTTAATCTTTTATTGAATAATTTTTCTCTATCTGACAATATGTGGGTAGCCTTGTATGGTACTAAAAGTAATGGAAACGCAGAATCACCAAGAATATGAAGATTTTTAGAAATCATTTCTTGAGGATTGTTTATTAAAGTTTCTCCTAATAAAGAATTTTTAAAAACTGTAGCATCATGCGAACTCCCGGGCCACCCAGAAAATATGTAGATAAATTCTAAATGAGCATTACAAACAGCCTAAGAATTTAAAAATAAATAATTAGGTTTTTTCTTAAATATAATTTATAATTTATAATTTATACCAGTAGAACAATTGACTGGAACATTTTGCGGTTGGTGTAGTCACTCCTTTTAGCTTTTGCTGAATGCATGCGTATATGGCAGCCGTCAATACATCCAATAGTATTTGGTACATAATTAATTCGTAAGTTTTTAAAATCTTGTACAGTTTCTTAAACAAAAACAGTTGAATTAAATTATGTTAATGATTACAAAAAATCATGATCTACTTGTTTCTGAACTTCCTCTAGGCCATATTATGAATTCATCAAGAAGGTTTGACAGTGCACGTACATATTTATGTATAGTACGACACGCAATCCCTCTATTTAAGCCGAAACGATCACCAACTTGACTGTAAAATGGTCAACAAAAATAAATATTATTAAATAATACCTAACAAAATAAATCATTTTTGTTAATTACCGAAATGTCTCAGTGTTACTTAAGTACCAAATAGTCATTAGAGTAGCTTTCTGAAAATCAATCCCAGGTCTTCCTGCTTTTATATTGTGAGACTTATACAAAGGTTGCATTTTACACATTAAAACCTATATTACAAATTATATAAAAAAAAATAATAAATAGTAAACATGAAGTATTTTCTAGTAATAATATTATAAATATTATATAGGTAAATGTAATTTAATTACCTCAACTGAATTTCTCGTGAGTCTGAAATGACTTTTAAAATCAATGTCATCATATAAACTTGTCACTAACATGAAATTTGTGATACGAGCTTTCGCATTTTTCGAGAGCAGTTGAATTAATAACTTTTTCTTTTTATCTAAAGATTTATTTATATTTTGTAGGTGATTTAAACTTAATAATAACACTAAATTATTATTCATTATTTAAGAATTTGATCACCTTCAAATTATTAAAAGATTCAACTTGGTACACACTCAAAACAAAAATTTTAAATTAGTATTTCTGAATTCTGATTTAATTAAATTAATTCAATTAAATGCTTAATTACAGTAAAAATATTTTGATATAAAATATCAATAAACCACACAATTGATAAGACAATGATAATAATTCTGGTTACTGCGGTTAAAAGAATTAACCAACATGTTTCAGCGTTTTAACAAAAAAAGCGTTCCTAAATTATTATCAATCCACTGAACAATCCGCTAGATTAGATGATGAATTTAGGAACACACGGATTGTAAACGTAATGAATAACTTATATTATATGTTAAATAACATCTGTATTTTTATTATTAAAAATATGTACGATAAATAGTGAATAATAAGCGTAATAATATGTATCTTTTACGCATACACGACACTCGGCGTCGTTATATCGTTATTACTTATTATGTAATAATGACTGTTGTTATCACTTATCAGTGCCTGATTATACGGCAACACGGGAATTCCAAGAGTTTTGTGTTATATTTAGAAAAAGTGTGTATACGGTACACGTCTAATGATGGTACACATAATATACACAGAAAACAATGTTTAAGAAATTTTCCAGACTTACAAAACAAAAGCGTAAGAAGAGAATCCAAAAAAATATCGCGGTGAAAAAGAGAGACGTACGTAATGGGAATGTATTTCAACAACTACCGACCGATAATCTCGGGAAGGAATGTAAAAATGACATCACACATTGAAATGCAATTAAAAAAACGCGACACCTTCGAGACACCAAGTTTGGATTTTGAGGGAGCACGCTCGGGAAACAATGTATGTCGCTTTTTTAAATCAGGCGTAACTTAATAATTGGGTGGCTGTAATGATGTATAAGTACACGGGGTGAACAATTAAGCTTTTAAATAATAAAAAAAATAGTACTCACCAGTCTACAAAACGCCAAACGTAGTAAAAAAAAGGTAGGAAAAAAAGTTAAGAAAAAAAAGAGTGCAAATTTGTATAGTAGTATACGCAATTACGTAAAAACGAACGTTTCGCACAGACGCTCGTTGAAGAAAGTCGCCGCGTCGGAGCGGAGAGCCGACCCAGGTCCACTGCGCTTTTCGCCCTCTACTCCGCCACCACATGACAGCACTACAGCAGTATTACCAAAAGTTACCTATCTAATTTAATTTGTTTTCAATAAGCTTGTTGTCAATGGTCCACGATTTTGACAGACCCACGGTGTTGGTAATAACATCGGCAAATACGTAAAATGCAAGGCAAAACCAAACGGTGGAATCAATTCTATATTTATTTGCCATCGACCAGTGGAAGTGAGTACACGTTGCATTATTATATTTTTCAATTTTTTTTTTGTTTTTTTTTAACAACTTTACTAATGTTAATTTTTCGTTGTAGAATGTTTCAATTTAGAAATTGCTCGGTGACGGTGGCTGCAAGCCCCGTCACCACCAATCAACAATCTTCTGAAATTGTAGCACCTAAAAGTTTGTATAAATATTGTCAATTGTCATTAGGTATATACAATGATAAACATAGTAATGTTGTTCGCTTTTCTTTTTCCGAGTGCTACAATTGCAGAAAAACCGGCCACCTGGCCCGCCATTGTAAGTGTATTTTGTGTATATTATATATGTGATCGTAAGCAATGCATCTAAAATATTATTTATTATGCAGGCAGGAGAGGAAAATTTCAGAGGGACTCGTCCCCTCACCGGCGGCGAAAACCGGTGTTGAGTAACGGAAAGAGTACTGTGACGTCGGTGGCAAATAATCTGGCCACGATGAACGTGTAAGTGAGTAATATTAAAAATATTTACATATATATAATATGTAATATACATATTATTTATAAATGTTGTTAAATACATTGTTTATAGCATGACGGCTTTGCAGAATGTGGTAAGCTATAAAAAGTTTTTTGAGTTCTTTTTATTTTCTAATTCTAATTTGTTTTTGTATATATTTTCAGAATGAATAATATATAATTATTTACAATAATTATTTATAAATGTTTTTTTTATACTTAACCTAACCTAACTTATATTACAACATATATATAACAGATGTTATCATAATTATAAGTTTGCACAACTCTCAATATAATGCATAGGCTCGAACAAATTACTGCTAGTACTATTGGTTAATGAATAATACTAAAGACAACATTAATTGTTAAACAATGGCTTATTGTAGGTAAAGGTAGCCTAAAGGTATATTGCAATAAAATAAGTAAGAAAAAAAATGAAACTTTTCAAATGTAGTTACAAATTAAACATGGGTATCAATTAATGTTATTATATATTTATTTCAATATAACACATTAAACTCAATACAATTAAAATTATAATAATAAATAAAAATTATATAAAGTAGTATATAAATTATATGTATAATACATTTATGCATACCAACCACATAAAAATGATGACAAATAATACAATATTTTAAGGATAGTTACACCATTTGAGGATATCACATGTATATGTAGTTTTCTTGTTTTCTTGCCAATGTAGAGGTTAGTATATATAAATATATAAGGTGTGAATTGCAGTAATTAAACTTGGTAATACATATATATATATATTAGTTTAACGTTACATGTATGTTTTAAGAAATTGACATTGTCTTAACAATCGACTAAAGCTCCTACTAAAACTCTTAGCTTTTAAATAAATATACTGCAAAATGTCTATCCAATTCGTGCATTCAAACTAGTTATATATATATATTTTAGATTCAGAGTGGAACGATGAATGTATTGATTTTACAATGATGTGTGAATCTTGTTTTAAATTTTTAATCCTTAGCTATAAAAACTGAACATTTTATAATTTATTAATTACGATGATTGATAATTTTCGAAGATTTTGAAAAATTCTGTCAAAATTCGATCTTTAAATGCTTATAAAAAAAAAAATTGTGCCTATGTATTTTTAATATTTCTCAACTGATATTATAACAACATATCAGGAGCCTTGTATTACATTTTTACACTTTTTGGCCCAACAAATAAAACTTTATTGATATTCATAGAAAAAAAAACTAAAAAAATTTTAAAATGAAAATATCCGTAAACAGCTCAAAAAGAGTCAAAATATTTTCATAATTGTAAAGTGTATAGGAAATGCTAATATAAACATTCAGTGAAATTTTCATGTATCTACAGTCATTCGTTTTAAAATTACAACAAAATAAGGAAATCGCTACATGAGAAATCGAGTGAATATCCAATGTCGTAAAAATTTGAATTTCAAACGCTCATAAAAATTTAATTTGACTGCCCGGTAGAGATTTTTTTATTGATAAAGGTAGACAATCTTATGAGTAATCTTGTATTACATTATCAAATATTAGATTTAAAAAGAAAATTTTTTACGAATTCTTAACTCAAAATAATTTGCTATTTTTCGTGGTTTTTCCATATTTTGTCAAATTTTGAACTTTAAATGCTTATAAAAAAAACTGTAACTAAGGATTTTTATTTTTTTTTTTTTATTTTCCTTTGAAACAATATACTAGGAGCCTCCTATTAAATTTTCAAGCTTTTTAAACCAACAAATAAAATTTTATTGATATTTTTAGAAAAAATACTAAAAAAAATGGAAAATGAAAATGTTCGTAAAGAGCTCAAAATAAGTCAAAATATTTGGAAAATTTTATGGTGTATAGAAAATGCTAATATAAACATTCAGTCAAAATTTAATGTACTTACTGTCATTTGTTTAAGAGTTGCATGAAAAACCAAAATCGAATTTCTCGAAAACAGATTTTCCGTAAAAATTCCCGGTTTTCCTTAATTTTTATGTTGTTTTTCCCGGTGCTTGTGAAAATTATTGGGAAATTTAAATTTTGACCTCCCCAATGCACCAATGATATTCACTTTCGAATCGAAAAAGATACTGAAGTTGAAAATCAAAGCATTATTTCGACAACTTATCGTGTACAGAGACACAAAAAAAAATAAATAAATAAAAATAAAGACACACATCATTGTAAAATCAATACATTCATCGTTCCACTCAGAATCTAAAAATGTAATTTTCCAAATGTACTTACCAAAGTTCGTTTATTTTTGTAAGTCTGTGAACGGCGTATACAACAGCATTCAATCTGTTTAAAAATACTAAAAAATAGATGTAAATACTGGTGAAGTGGTTGGTGTATATCGCCACTTAATTATATCATTAATATTAGATTGATTTTAATTAATATTATTTTTTTAATCAGACAAAAATAATAAGCAAAGAAAAGGGCAAGTATATTATTATTCACTTTATAAATTCAATTTTCATTCAAATTAGAAATGTCAAACCAATAATATAATAAGTACTTATTATATAATTTAAAGCATATGCGTGAATGAATCAATAATAGATTGAACTATTAACCTTCTAGTTATAATATTCAATATTAGGCCGTAAATGTAATTTCTATACAGGTCTAGGATGACCTCAATAGTAGCTTATAAAAAAGGTTCTTTCGATGTTCATAAATCATTAGATACTGTGTGTACTGCCGCTGATGCAGTCCAGTTTGAATGTTATTATGTTATATTTATGTTATAGTAATATTACAGAATTTACATAAAAAATCATAAAATCGTGTAAATTGTCTACATTAAATAGTTATCTAATAGTTTTTTTCAAAAATGTATGAGTACCTACTAAAGCTTAAATTTTAACGAATATCTAATATAACTAATTATGGACGGCTTGGACATGTTCTATAAGATGTTTACCTTGTAAATTCAAAATTTGGTTTCACCACACTGCATTTTATCACCATAAAATCATTTTAAATGTGAAAGTTCTACTAAGAGATTTCCTATTATATTTGGTTCTTTGTTAGTTTTTAATTAATAGTGCCTAATATAAAATGTACATCTCCTTGTACAACTCTGTACTAGTATGTAGTTCATTAATTGTTTTAATAGCAATAATAAATTTTTAAAATACAATTT